ATACCCCCATATTTTTTCTATTCATGTTTTTCCACTGCCTCCCTCTACCAGCTCTCTTAGTCAGATATTTTCTCCTTTCCTTTTCCCACTCCTGCCTGTGAGCCCTTCTTCATTCCAGCAGATAATTTTTGGAGAAGGAGCTCAACAAATTTAATCAAATAAATGTCTTCCCAATCCAATCTTTGTCTCCCAAGTCAGCCAGCATGTCTTTCCATACTGCTTCTGCAGGTAACAGAAACTCTTCTGAGGGCTGATGTGTTATCCTTAACCCACACTCCTCCTCTGAAACCTTCAGAAGAGCCTGAATCTGCTCCTTGGAAGCCCAGGAAGCATTGTTAAGCTGTCTGGCAAACAGATGACCCTGAAAGTGGTATGGCTGTATCACAAAGACATTGCCTTCTCCTATTTCAGGTACTGCCTAAGGGCTCATTTCTCTTGTGGTGTTGTAAGAAATGTGTGTAACTGCTACAGGAAGACAAAGAAAAGTCAGGAGTTCATGGTGGCTTTGGGACTGTCTAGTCAAAAACAAAAGCAAAGGGCTACCCAGGTCAGATTATCTATATCATAGGAGCATAAATAGCTGCAGTGGGAAGCAAGAGGTCTCCTCAGAGTAGGGCCAGACATGAGGTAAGACAAGATCTCACAAGGTTTCATATTAGAAAAGCTCCATGTTTCAGGTGCTCCTTTTGGAGGAAGATGATGAAGAAGAAGGAAGCATATGCAGTTCCCACTGCAATTCCCAGCTCCTATTTGTTGGAAATATAGAAAAATAGGCAGGTGGGGTGGGATGGGGTAGCTTTCCTGTAGGTATGGGGTCCACAATGAAGTCCAGGCTTCTTTGGCTGCAAGTAGCTGAGATACTCAGGTGGAAAGGTCACCACTCAGGGTGTTACTGACGGTGCTCAGAGTTGGCCTGATGGATTTTCATCCCATTCCAGGACCAGCTGCTCTGCAAAGTCAGGGGTAACACTAACTAACATAGACTGAGCTTTCCTTGACATTCATCTGCATGAAGAGGTCCTGTTGTAGAGCGAGCTGGTTTCTAAGCAGCCAGTTCTTCCCTCCCCCAGGAACAAATCCTGACTCATGTTTACCAGCTGGAGAAAACATGACCAAATATTGAAAAAAGAAAAAAGAGAGATCTGCTTTGAGCATTAAAATTCATTGCTGAAAGACTAGAAACTACTGTTGGGCCTGCCAAACAATTTAATTGTCGACTTATGTAAGAAAGGCTCTTTTTCAGTCCCTGTTTGCATTCACCAGGGGGTTCATAAAACAATTATAAGAATCTAGTGATAATCTTCTTTCAGCCTTTATATTCCAGGCAGCCCAAAATGTCAATCCAGTTGATGATTGCTCCTGTGTGAGGTCACTGAGCCACTGACTGGCTCTCTGACTTTATTATTATTAATTGTTTTTATTAGTTACTGCTACTATATGGCATGTGGGTCACTCACCCTGTCCCCAGCCCTTAATAGCTCCATTGTGTTGTCCTGATCAAAGCTGGTCCTTTCTGTGTCTCTTTCATGTGATCTTCAAAGTCATCTTTGGATTACTTTAGATGGACTGAAAAATAAAAATCTCAAAGGCATCTTTAGGCTGAATCAAAAACTGACAGCCCCAAGTTTTTGATAATTCAAATATTAATATCTTATGGTGTTAGACTGTCATCTTGTGAACAATCTAAGACAGTCATGAGACAACCACAGGCCCTGGCTGGAAGCAATTCAATGGACTCTCCCCATCTCACTGAGGGGCTCAAAGCCAGTGAATGACAGATCCTGCTACTTCAGGTTGGCTTGAAATCATTACACACACAGGATATGAAATTATACACTTTAGTGATAGCTGATTGCTGAAAACCCTGCCTTGTGTGTGAATAAAAAATAAGACTTTATGACTGGTTTATATTATTTTCTTTCAGCCTTCATACTGCTTGAATGCAAGTCATATTCCATACAATATCCCTGTCACTTTAGAGGCAAACTGCTGGAGATCAAACCTTTACACAAAATATTGGTTTAGACCTGAAACTGGAAAGGTACAGCTCTTACAGGACAGTGCAATATTTCATGCTTTGATTTTGAAAAGTGACATCTCTATAATGCTACAATTTGCTAAATAACTAAAGCACACTAAAGTCTTGAAGACCAGGTCAATCTAGAAATCCTGAGGTCTCAACTGAAGCATGTGCTTAAATATTTTATAAATGTGGTGCTCTGCCTGGCCTCCAAGTTGGTGCTGGTATGAAATTCATGCCACAGAGACAAAGCAGTCAGCATTCTTCCCCACAGTCTTGTGCACCTGACTTGTAGGCAGCACTGTATCAAAATGGGTTGAGGCTAAATTTCTACACCACTCTCCTTTAAATCCAGTGTAATAACACTGGATTAGAAGAGAGGGATTCAACAAAGGAGACCAGATAACAGGAAAAGTCAGATAAAATTTCCTTTTTATCCTGTGGATTGTCCTTTCAGTATAAGTCTGGATATAAATATGAGTATCACATGGGATTTAATTGTGTCAGAAGAAATAAAATGAACTTAATTAAAAATACGAGTCAGGCTAGACTAGAGGACAAAGTCTGGAATTTAGGGCTTTTTGTCTGAAGACAAAATTAGCCTGGAAAATAAAAAAAAAATATTTCATATCAAGAAACTGGCAGAACATTCAATCACTCATTGCTTCCAACATCAAAAAAATTTTCCTCTGATTTGGGAGAGGAGTAGTTTATACTTTTTATGTAGTGGTGAGAGAATATGGCTTAATAAAGTGGTAATAGGATAAGCTGCTGGAAGCTTTTCCATAGGAACCATCAACATGGAATGGAGTTTCCCCCTCTGCTAGTGAGATTGGGCCCATATTTTAAGGGTATCTTTGCCAGAGGCCTGCACACATTGTAAGTTGAACAGAACTAATGTTTTTGGCTTCTAACTTTTCTCTCAAACTTAATACTGGTCAATTTGTGAGGTGTCCTGGCAATAACAACAAAATAACACCAAACAACATTAAATATGATTTTGTCATGTTTTCATATAAAGCAGAATAAAGCACAAGGAGGGAGGTGGCACAGGGATGTCGAATGACACTCTAAAAGTGATGCAGAGCTTTTACATAAGAGTACAGGACACTGAACTCTCTTCTACACTCCAGATTTCTGCTTTAGGTGCCTAAACTCCAGCTGAGTTCAGTGAGAGTTGAGCTACTTAAATCCCTCTATGAACTGGATGCCAAGTTATCACCTTATGGCTTAGATGAATTAGGTATTTTAGTGTTCCTGACAAGGGTTCCAAATTGGCTTTTTTTTTTGTTTTGCTGATCTCACTGGAGGTCCAGGAATGGCTGAACCTAGAGACAGGAGCAACTGGCAGCTGTAACTTGGAGACTGGGATTTCACAGGGCTGGAACAAAGGCGCTGTAGAGCATCATCTTCTGGTTAGGATTTGGCAGATTTAAGGACTGTGGAAAGAGGTGTTTTCAATAACTGAGCAGAATTGCTAACATAGGCTTTACACATTGCAGCTCAAGGATCAATTTGGTTTTGGCCTTTGCCAAAGCTACTTCTTAACAACTGATTTGAAAACTGCAAAGATGAACTGTCTTTTTTGCTCCCTATGGGGCAACCACACTTTGACATTGTGGTTCCTAAATGACCAGCAAATAATTTTGTATGCTGGAAGTGAAGGAAGGGAAGGAAAGAAAATAAAAGATTCAATCTTTTCTTTTCCTCCCCCCAAGTTAATGAATTTTTTATAAATGTGTAAGCATGTCACTATTCCAAGCCACATCAAATCAACTTTTAAAATCTGTATTTAAAAAACAGGAATGTGTATAATATGAATGGCTTAAGGAATAAAATGCAAAAAGATGTTGATGATGCTGGATTAGCAGCCAGCTGGAGGATTAAAAAAGATGAAGAGAAGAACAAAAAGGCCCGTGTTTCACTAGCCAAGTCAACAGCCGTGTTTTTTCAATCGCCCCTCATTATGGAAAAGTGTACTCAGGTTGTCCTAGAATCAGAGTTCACTGTTTTTAAGGAGTCACATCAGGAAAAAAAACTCTTGATGCAATGCAGAGTGTATGACATGGAACATCTGGACACCAAACTACTGGAGCTGCCATTTTTGCAGAGGAATGGCTCTGAGGATGAATTGGAATGAGCTGTAACAAATATGGGATTTTGCTGGCAGCTTTATTTTATTTAAATGCATCCCTGGCTTTTGAGATATTTCTTTGTTTTGGATAATATTTAAACATGTCAAAAATCCTCTCTCCTTCCTGCCCTTCATTACACATGACAGGGAGTGGATTGCTCTGGCCATCTGTAGATGGGAATGAATGGAGCTACATCTGGATGGGCCAGGGATCACATGAATGCTCACAGCAAGCCCCAAGCAGTTAACTTGAAACCTGTCTTTCCCTGAGTGAGCCAAGACACTATCACAATTTTTGCCAGGATTGTGTGAAGCAGTGTTGGAGCTTTGCAGCTAAACGTGTCCAGAGCCTGTTTGGGGGCCCTCTCTAAAGTTAAGCACCTCTGCCAATCCTGCATGTGCCTAGGAGTTGTGTTTGATAATAACATCTGGCATTTATTGTGTGACATCTTGTGCTTATGAAGCCATTCCCAAGGCTCCCCTGCAGCCCAACTGTGGAAAGCTTCAAGGGAGAATACAAAAGCACATGTGGCAAAGTTTGGAAGAGGGGAACACTAATAAAGGAGCAGACAACCTGTAGGTCCAGACATACACACGGCTTGTGCCAAAGCCGTGCCATGCTGGCAAGGCCTGAAACTCAGCCTGGGCAGAAGCAGGGCAAAGCCTGGGATTCTGAAGCTGCTGCCATTGATGCTAAGCCCTGTCCTCAGGGGCTGGTGAGAGGATAATCTGTGCATCTTGGGGACGTGATTTAGTGGTGAACGTGATGGTGCTGGGTTAATGGTTAGGCTCAAAGATCTTAGAGAACTTTTACAACCATAATGGGTCTATGTTTCTCTGATTCAGTGATGACTGGGAACCCACCCCCATCCCCTGCCTGTGAGCTGCTGCTGGAGGTCTCTCCCCCTTGGCTCCCTTTTTCAGGTATGTGTTCCATAGCTGTCAGCCATATCTCCTCTCCCTCTCCCTCTCCCTCTCCCTCTCCCTCTCCCTCTCCTCTCCTCTCCTCTCCTCTCCTCTCCTCTCCTCTCCTCTCCTCTCCTCTCCTCT